TAATCCGTACAACTGCAGCAGTGGAGGACTATTATTCTGCTGTGTGATACTGCGGAAGAACTGATGATGGCACGGTTTGATCTTCGGCTGACCAATCAGCAGAAAGGGGCGTTTAATTCCTGCCCACGTGTAGAAATCGAATATTCAAGCTGTTTATTCATTTTTCCACCCCCGTATTTTTTATTCCATAGTAAGGGCAATTCATACAATACATTTAAACTGAGCTACTTTAATACCATCTCCGAACTTTCTACCAGGACTCTGCTGTTCTTCCCTGTATACGTTGATTGACAGATGTCTCGTCCAGTCAGCGGTGAGTAATCCCAAACCAATGGCGCTGTCTCAAACTATACCTACCTCTTCCGGTTTGTCTGATTTGTCGTTGTGTTTTCTGACTTGTTAATTTGTTTTCGGATTTGTCGTTGTGTTTTCTGACTTATTTTGTTTTCGAATTTGTCATTGTGTTTTCCAACTTGTTATAATGTTTTCTGAATTGTTGTTGTGCTTTCTGAATTGTTATTTTGTTTTTTAGACTTGCATTTGCGCTTGTAATTTATTTTGTTTTCAGAATTGTGATTTGCTTCTCGGCCACCGTCTTAAACGAATATGAGTTACAAAAAAAAAAAAAAACATTTTCTTTATGGCAGTTTTACAGCAGTAACATTTTTGGAAGAGCTTAACCTTTTTTTAATATTACAATTTAATGTTGTTAAGACACATTCCACTTGTTGCTTTCCAATTCCACTTAAAGGGATAATTCACCCAAAAATGAGAATTATGTCATCATTTCAAGTTGTTCCAAACCTATACGAGTTTCTTTTCTTTTATTGAACACAAAAGAAGATAGAAGAAGAATGTTGGTAACCAAACAGTTGCTTGTAGCCTTTGACTTTAATAATATGGAATAATAAAAATACTAAGTTGTTGGCTTGGTACCAGTAACTGTTTGGTTTCCAACATTCTTCAAAATATCTTCTTTAGTGTTCAACAGAAGAAAGAAATTAATATAGGGTTAGAACAACTTGAGTAAATGATAACAGAATTAACATTTCAGGTTAATTAAGTCGTTTTAATACATTTAAAATATATATAATGCAGTGCAAGATGTTCATCACATCCTCCACCAGAGGGAGACATTACACCACAGGAGCCCTCTGTATGTTTTGCTGGGTCACAGATGGCACTGGATTGATTTACAATCGAGTTAAATTAACACATTTAAGAAAACACTAATTCAACTTCAAAATTTTAATTTGCAAGTTCCTAACACACACACAGGTTTGTTTTTGTGAAAAGTGGGGACATCCCATAGGCGTAATGGTTTTTATACTGTACAGACCGTATATTCTATTGCCCTACACCAACCCTACCCCTAAACCTACCCCTCACAGGAAACTTTGTGCTATTTCAGATTTTCAATACACTCCATTCTGTGTGATTTATAAGCGTTTTGAAAAGTGGGGACATGGGGTAATGTCCTGAAAAGTCACCTTCTCCTTGTAATACCTATGTCATACCTTTGTCATTATACAAATTTATGTCCTCATTTGTCACAAAAACGCGCACACACACACACAGCATAAACCAAAACAAACAAAGACCCATATGCAGATTTAATTAAGTCTACATAAGCATTTGACTGTAATGTAGCTGTTTTACACAATTATAGACAAGAAAAATGCATGTTTGTACATTTAATTATATTTTTCTTTTCATAGTGTGTGCATCTACAGCAAGTGAACCGGGCTGAACCAGCGCTGCTTAAAACAAGAGAACATCAAGCAGGAGTGACACCGTTTAAATAGATCGGGCTCTCCAGGACAAGGCGGAAAGAAAAACATGCCTCTTTTGTCAAAGCCAGACAAAGCCCCACAGACCTTAAAGTGGGCAATTCAAAATTCTGAAGGGTAAGTTTTCACAAGAAAAAAAAAGATGGAGGGGAAAAAGTTATCTAAGCCATTACGTTCCTTCACAATAGCTCTGGTTGAAGTTGTGCCTCTTCTGATCTTCTCTCAGCTGGACTTCTGCTTTCCAGCCTGTCTTCTCTTATCTCCAGTCATCCGAGAGGCTTCTGCCAGCCTGCGAGCTGTCAAAGTAGCCCTGGAATCAAACGCCACTCCATGCTCAGCTATGATCAAAGGAACACAGGTAAGGCAGCCACAGAGACACATACAATTGGCATCTAAAAAAGTAAGCCGTCTGGCCCTCACACCCCTCCTTCTTTTTTATCTCCTGACTACTCTGACACCGAGAGGAGAAACGTGGAGCACATTGATCAGAATAAAGCAAAGTGATCAGGTTTTGAAGATGTGGGGGGAAGTTTGTTCTCGCCAGAAACTTTTGGACAAAGGGAATTCTGGGATAGAGGTGAGGGCGCTGGGTAAAGGGACACTTAAAATGCTTCACAAGTTTTTTTTTTCGGCTTTGAACTATCTTTTCCCTGCTTATAATCCTCTAAACACGAGATGCCTGTCTCAAGTCAAACACATCTTTCATTTCTTGACAAAATTACCACACACACATAAAATATATAGAAGGGGCTAGTTGTCACAAGGGAAGTATCTCACCAAATACAAGGTTTGAGTCAAAGTACACAAAGGTGTTTTCACTGGTTTTGTAAAAACTTTCAATATAATTTTTTTTTTAATGCAGCCCTTAAAACTAAAATTACAGTATAGAAAAAATGCAACCTAAAGAAAAAGATTGCATTTGGCTGCTCACATCTAGTCCCTCAAAGAGAAAAATATTTAATAAATAAGTTCATTAACATATTTTGATGTTTTTTTTTTAATTGGAGAATAATATCTAATCAAATCAATCAATAGGAAACTAATACACTATCCTTTCAAGGTTTGGGGTCAGTAAGAGTTTTTAAAAAGAAATTAATATTGTGATTCATTAAAATGCATGAAATTGATCAAAGGTGACTGTAAAGGCATTTATAATGTTACAGAAGATTTTTGTTTTTAAAATACAAGCTGTTCTTTTGAACTTTTTATTGCTTGAAGAATCCTGAAAAAACTATCACAGTTTTACATAAACATTAAGCAGGAAAGATTGTTTTCAACATTATTAATAAGAAATATTTCTTTAGCAGAAAGTCAGCATATTAGAGTGATTTCTGAAGGATGATGTGGCACTTAAAACTGAATGGCTGCTGAAAACTCGGCTTTGCATCACAGGAATAAATTAAATTTTAAAATACATTAAAACAGAAAACATTGTTTTTAAATTGTAATATTACTGTTTTTACTGTATTTTGGTCAAATAATTCAGGCCTTGTTGAGCATAAGAGACTTTTCCAAAACATCAAAAATGATACCAAACCCAAATGACGTTTCTAATGTGGCATTTAACGTCATGTTAGTAATGACGACTCATATGACATTTGAGTCGTCACAGTAGGCAAAACAATTACTAATAGGGACACTATGTGGTTTAATGTTCTCTCTCAAGCACACGCACACAAAACACAATCAGTAAAATATACATGACACTAAAATAACAATATACATCAAATACTGCCGTCAACAAATAATTCACTGGCAAGGACATTTATATATTTTGAAAACCAGAGACATGTGCACTCAACAATCTGGTGTCAGGACAAAATCTACCATAAAGATGTCCATTGAACATGACAGGACAAACTCAACTCAATATTTCTGTTTTTATGCCAGAAAATACTTTTTTTTTATTAATGAGACCAAAAATACGCATACAATCTCCATCAGTTGTGATTTGTTCAATACGTGAGCACTTATGTTACTCTACATTGCACACAAAATTAAGAAACAACTTGAAATTTTTATAATTAGATATAATTAATCTAATAATTATGGAACATTAGTTTATATTAAAAATGAATAACATCTCACTTTCTAGGTTCAAGATGCATGTCAGAAAGTGTAGAGACTTCCCATTTGCACCCGGTTCCATGGACGAAGAAAAAGAGGAACTCAATATTTCTGTTTTTATGCCAGAAAATATATTTTTTTTATTAATGAGACCAAAAATACGCATACAATCTCCATCAGTTGTGATTTGTTCAATACGTGAGCACTTATGTTACTCTACATTGCACACAAAATTAAGAAACAACTTGAAATTTTTATAATTAGATATAATTAATCTAATAATTATGGAACATTAGTTTATATTAAAAATGAATAACATCTCACTTTCTAGGTTCAAGATGCATGTCAGAAAGTGTAGAGACTTCCCATTTGCACCCGGTTCCATGGACGAAGAAAAAGAGGAAATAGATGAAGATTTATATTGGATCAAGTCTTGCTGATCTTGCTGGCCAACAGTAATAGCAAGAGATCAACCAACCGCTGACTTCACAGAAAAACCACCTGTAGCCGACAATCACAGGTAATTTATATCTTTCATTAAACTCAATCTGCCACGCACACAAGAACTATTCATCTAGCTGGCTACTTCTGCTACGTGTTTATGATAAAGAAATATTACACAGAAGTTTATGTCCAGTAACCAGGGATGCTTATGCATATGCTGTTATATGTTATGAGAGACCAGAGATATACTGTAATTTAATGGTCTTATTTAAACAATATTTCAGTAAATACACGCATATTATCCAGATTTGCCAGTTTATCACAGAATCACTTTTTGAAACAATAATCATTGCAGAACAAGAAACAAATCTAACAAACCTGCCTAAGGACGATGTCTAAAGTGGCACACATTAAGGCTTACTATTTCAGCTAGTGAAGATGTTTACTATAATTTTAATGTTACTTCATAAGGCAAAAATGTCTTTTTCTGAGTATAAATAAAATGTATACTGAAAGTAGTGGATGTTAAGTACTCAAAAATGTACTAAAATGTCTCTAAAGGTACTAAAACATTTACATTTATGCAATAGGCATATGCTTTTGTTCGTGTAGCTCAGTTGGCATAGGTTAAATTTCCAAAATGCTTAAACTAATAAAAAGTTTAGTTTAAATACTAAGAGTTGATCCGGATAAAAGTGTTTGCGAAATGTATAAATGTAAAACAGATCTTTTGGGAGGGGCTTTTTCCGAAGTAGGTCTATCTGCTCTTGAGTAATGCATTTCTAGTAATCGCTTTGTGTTTGCAAAATTAGTGTCTACAGCAACAAAGTGACATGGCAAAAAAAAAAAAGGAAAACTATTAAAAAACAAAAATGGAGAAGCGGCTGCCTCCACCATTCTTTAATAAACTTCCTCTATTGGGTCTCATCACATATATTCTTTTACATACAGGAAATTCCATCTATCATGGGATTTTTGTACCCATTTCTTGTTTGTACAGGATGTGGTTTCTTTTGCACTCATTTTAAAGGGGGCCACTTATGGGGGCGGGGCACATAAGTGACTGTCACAATCACAACACGAGGTATGACTTTGCAAAAACAGCACATTGATTTATATTTGCCAGTTAAAATGATTGTTCAAATCCGTTACCCATATAAGGGTGATTGAAAAGCATGTACAAAGAAAATAGTGTGCAATGGGCTGAATGCACCCAGGTGTAAAACACCTTTTGTCACTATGCAAGGCAAAATTTCAATATGTGCACTGACAGTCGGTTGAGCTTGAGATAAAGTGATCAAAGATTTAATGATTTTTAATTTTCAAATGTTGCACTTTTATGGTATTGAGAATCATCATATGCATTTTAAGACAAAATACTTATGGTTTTCAGTTTTGTTCATGGTGCAGTTTTGTTATTCATTTTAATACAAATAATTAACAAACAGAAAAGCAAATAAACAACTGAGTACTACTTACATTTACATTGCATTTTTTTATTATTTTTAATTATTTATGTTTTAGAATTTGTTTTTATAATGTTTTTAGAATTATTTCTTTATATTTTATTATTTTATTGTGGTATAGCATATAGTGGGGCTAAATCATATAATATGCTATGCTATATGCATTTCATTGTCCAAATGAAATTACAATTACAATGTTCTACTTGTAATATATAATTGTAATATAAATGTACATTACATTTATATACTTTGGGATCAGAAAATATTTTCTTCAGCTGAACTGTACCCTACACCAGAATAGAATAATGAAATAAAAAACAAGAAGTATTATTATTACTATTAATTATTAATAAATTAATAATAATAATAATAAATATTCTTCCCCCACTTTGGGACTGATTTTTTTTTTCTTTAGCTCAATGATGGTATCATACACCAGAATAAAATAATAAAATAAAAAACAAGAAATAATAATAATAATTATTATTATTCTTCTCCACTTAGGGGGGAAAAATTTCTTTAGCTCAATGGTAACATACACCATAATAAAATAATTAAATATAAAACAAGAAATAATTCTAAATAATAATAATAATATTTTTATTCACCTTCGGACCAGAAAAACACATTTCCTTTAGCCCCACTATATGCTATACCACAATAAAATAATAAAATATAAAAATAAAGAAATAATTCTAAAAAAATTCTAAAACATACATAATAAAAAATAATAAATAGTAAAATAAAGCCTACAGCTAAATAAAAGAATAGAATAAATGATGAATATAAAAATAAAGAAAAAAATAAAACATTTATAAATCAAACCATGAAACAAACATTCCCATATTTATCAGTTGTTACCCTACACCAGGCATTACATAATGTTGCATGACAGGAGAGATATACATAAAGCAGAAGGTGTGGTGCAGTCGATGGGCAATAATGCTGAGCGTCTGAAGAGTAGCATATGGGAATCTTTCATGAGACCATAGACACGTGGCCACAAGACGCAGACTTTTACTTGAAATGGTCAGAAAGAAAAGAACACACATGGAGATATCAGAGACAGATGAGCAAGAGCCATCCACAGATTAATGTAATTTATATGAAGAGAGAGAATGAGATTCGCAGGTGTTGATCAATGTCAGGTGGCACACAGAGGGGATCCCAGACTCAGACAAGGTGAAAATAGAGAGGGAAAGGTATCTAACATTTGAATGACAATGAGATAATGGATAAGTAAAAAATCTGAGACACAAGGTGTGAGGGGGGAAAATGAGAAAATGTGTGCATAAAGTTAAGAGACAGGGAGATGGACTGAACAGAACGCCATCATTCCAGTGGCTTTAGCTCCAGATGAACCCTAAAATACATTAATGTCCCATTTTTGCTTAAACATCTTTAAGCATGTTAACATC